AGCCAGATGTGAGGCCCACAAGCAGGAGATGAGTACAGTGGTACCTTGGTTCCCAAACAACTTGGCTCCCGAACAAATCAGCTCCTGAATGCCGCAAACCCGGAAGTGAGTGCTCCGGTTTGTGAACGTTTTTCGGAAGCCGAATGTCTGACACAGCTTCCAATTGAGTGCAGGAAGCTCCTGCAGCCAATCGGAAGCCATGCCTTGGTGTTTGAACCATTTCAGGAGTCAAATGGACTCCAGGAACGGATTAAGTTCGAGAACCAAGCAACTGCTATTCAAAGGCAGGCTGCCCTGGATGAAATAAAGATAATAATAATAATAATAATAATAATAATAATAATAATATGCCATCGTTCATCCAAAAATAACAGGGTGGGTCACAGCATAAAAATACAAAATAAGAATGCAAAATATATAACAAAAAATAAACAAAAAACCCCAATAAGCCTCCTCCCCCAAACACATTTAAAGGACCTTAGATGGTTTAATCAGCATAAGGCCTGGTTATAAATAAATATTTTTAACTGGCCCTTAAATATATATAATGATGGCACCTGATGGTTCCACAAACAGGAACCACTGCAGAAATAGCCAGTTCTTGTTTCACCACCCTCTGGACCTCTCGTGGAGGAGACACTCAAAGAAGGGCATCAGGTTATGATCAGAGTCTGGGGCGGTTCATATGGGGAGAGGGGGTCCTTGTGGTCCTGTGGTCCTGAGCCATTGAAATGCAGAAACTTCTAATATTTTATCCCCTTAGCAGTTACTTTTTGCTCCTCCCAGCTTTGTTTGCAGAATGATTTTTTTAAAAAACCAAACACGTGAATTCAGCCTGGAGAATTATTATCCTTCATCTTTATTAAAATACTGAAATGATCAGGTTACCTTTTAATGAAAATTGAGGAGGTGATTAGGTGATTTATGAACCGTTGGAATAGCAACTCAGGTTTCGTGGGCTGATGATATCTCCCCAGATAGCCATCATGGAATTTGAATAAGAATGGTCCCTTTGTCTGCTATGGTGTCTTTTTATCACTTACATGAGTCCCCAGGTGGGGGAAAGTAATGAAGAAAGGATGCTTTCATTTAAAAACATTTCTCCCCTCCTGCATGTGAAGCCAATAATATCCATGTGCTTAGAATGCTTTTCCAGTCCTGCTCCGCTGAGCCAGCTCAGAGGACATGGCAGTTTTAAGAGCTTTAGGACAAGTATGCATGTTTATATCTTGAACACATGTGATTCAGCCAACTTTCTGAAGCTAAGCAGGTCTCGATCGGGTCAGTGGCTGGATGGGAGACTGCCTGGGAGCCCACTGGATACCGCCTTGATTTATGTAATGCAAAGAGAAAGGACACACCTACCCACCCTATATAATATTATATGAATAGGCCATCACAAATTTCATATGACAAACAGAACTTTCCTATTGTCTCAGACACAATGCTTTTCCGCACTTTCTGCTGCTGGTCATCAGCAAGACAGTTATGTGTCTTACAAACCAGGTGTGTGTATTTGTATTAACTAGTACCATGCCCAAAATTAATCTTGCATTCCTCCCACCAACCATTTATTAATTTGAAAAGAGATTGCATTAGAAAATGATGAAAATGTGTCTTTTGGGGAGAGAGAGGAAATTTTGGTTAAATTTCCATTGATGGAATACGGGTTGTTAAGCTTACCGTACTTTCACGACAGCCCAGGGTAGGGCATAGGGCGTAGGATTTGTTGTGTGTGTCTTTTCTTTCATTCTGCAATTGAAAGCCTGTGCTCTGCAACATTCCTGGATACGCATATTTCCCCCAAAGCCCCATGACCTCTTCATCTGCATTTCCCTGTCAGCAAAGGAAGGTAGGGAGGCTGCATGCTGTGTGACTGACCAGCTGTGTTTTCTTTGAAGTGAATTCTTTTTGTTTGTTTGCTTTAGCTTTCAAGAAATCAGAACAGTGGTTGCTTTCGAAAGCAGAAGGTACAACTTCCTTCAAAGAAATTCAATGACTGTACTAATCTCAGGAGCTCAATTACCAGCCCCCCTAGTTCCCCATCCTTCAATTAAAACTCAAGGGAAGATGTCATGAGGGAACTTCTCCCATGGGGCCTTTTCAGATCAGGAAGCATGTGCAGCCAGCGCACATTTCATGTCCGTCATGAAATGATGGGTAGGAGAAGGCCATCAATGGCTACTTGCCACAATGGCTCTGCTCTGCTTCTGTGGTTCGATACAGTAATGCTTCTGAATTCCAGTTGCTGGAAGCCACAAGAGGGGAGAGTGTTCTTGAGCTTGGGTCCTACTTGAGGGTTTCTCATAGGCATCTGGTTAGCCACTGTGAGAACGGGATGCTGGACTCGGTGGGTCATTGGCCTCATCCAGCAGGTAATAATAATAATAATAATAATAATAATAATAATAATAATATATTATTTATACCCCTCCCATCTGACTAGGTTTCCCCAGCCACACTGGGCAGCTCCCAGCAGAATATTAAAAAGAATAAAATATCAAACATTTAAAACTTCCCTAAACAGGGTCGCCTTCAGATGTCTTCCAAAAGTCAGATAGTTGTTTATTTCCTTGACATCTGATGGGAGGGTGTTTCACAGGGTGGGCACCACCACCGAGAAGGCCCTCATACGGGCCCTCCTTTATGCTCTTATGATAAAGGATGCTTAACCCATTCCTGTGAAAAAAACTGAAAGCTCTTTAAGAATGTAGAAGAAAAATAAGCGTCTTCTGCAGGGGAGGAAATGTTTCGAGAAACTGGAGGAACCATGGAATCAATGAATTGTAGAGTTGGAAGGAGCCATGAGGGTATTGTAGTCCAGCGCCCTACAATGCAGGAATCTTTTGCCTAATGTGGGTCTCAAATGCACAACCCTGAGATTAATAGTCTCATGCTCTACCAATGACAGCACTCTGTGGACATCACCAGAGGCACCTTGCTCTTGTTCTCCATTTCATAGATTTGTATCCAGGATGAACCTGTCTCTGAGTCAGGCCTGTTTAGCATGCTTCAAGCATCGTTTTGATGCACACAATCACAGGGGTTTGCTTTTGCCTCTCCTTCAGCATATCTTCATGGGCCTTCTCGCCAGAGCATGCTAATCTGTGCGCTTCATTAAGGAGTAATTAGCCTGGAATATTCTCATGACTGCAAATGTGCTTCCGATTCACCCTTCGTGCTTTTCGAAAGCCCCCTGAAAGGATTCTACCACCCTGAGAAAACAAAACACTGCGCACAAAGCAGACGCTAAAGAGGAAAGCGAAAAGTGCTTGGGGTATGTGTGTGTTGTTCACTAATACACATTAAGTGGTTTGGGAATGTCCCCCAATAGTCAAATTTGCAAGGCGAATGGAAGAACAGCAAGTAGTGCACAGATGAGGCTATTCCGCATGCCTGAGGGCATTTTTCCAATAGAGGAAAGGTTAAGACTGGAATCCACAAGGATTCTTCAGCTGATCAGGTTCTGCTTGTTTATTTTATGCAAGGTTTATAGTCTCTAAGCCTTTGGCTCTTTTGCATACCACGGAATGGCTCTGATCAGCTCCTCCCAGGAGACAGATTTGCCGCTTGTTCACTACAACCGGTGCTCAGGCAGAGATATTTAAGATGGATGAGGATTAACGTGAGGCAATGGCATGGGCTTTTCGTTGTGCCGCAAATGAAGCTCACCATTGCACTTTTCTGCTTGGCCGCATGCCTTACCCGATTAAATCCAAATGGGAGTTGTCATTGCTTCTTCCCAGAGGCATCGGTGGGTGACAAAGGTTGTTGCTATTAAAAGATCAACAACTCCTGCCTGGGTGCCTGCAATAACTCAATTTATCCCTTGGCAGAGACGGCATTGTGATGGTGACAACTTTATAGAGCACCAGGTGTTTTGAGGAATATGCAACACCCTGGTGTCATCTGCTGTCCTGATGGGTGGCAGTGAGGAAAGGGTTGAAATGATCAAATGGCAGAAAGGAATTGTCCTTCCCTGCTCCTTGCTTTATGGGGCTTTTTAAAATACCTTTCTCTTGCAGTGTTGGAACTCTCTGAACAGTTCACCTAAGTGGTTTCTTTTGTTGGGCAGACACCCGCAGTGTGCAATTCTTGTCTGCTCTTTCTTTGAGATGCACTTTGGCACTGACATGTTTATTTATTTAATTATTAAATTTACATACCACCAGGGAAGTTCACAGAATAAAACACAAGATAAAACACAAGATAAAACCTCTGGATATGCACACCTCTGGTTGCGTATCCTTTGGGTTATGCACATGGCAAACCCGGAAGTATTTTTCCGGGTTTCGCTGCATGTGCATGTGCAGAAGCACTCTCTGTGCCATGCGCATGTGCAGAAGCACTCTATGCACCACATGCACCACGCCATGCGCATGCACAGAACAGGCATCTCTGGGGGCAAATTCCTCAGGATCCGACCGGAGCTCCAGAACAGATCCCATGCACAACCGGAGGTACCATTGTAAATGTTTTGCAACTGAGGGCTGGCACATGCAGAATCCTGTTATAGGACAACAGAAAAGTATTTTCTCTCCCCCCCCATAACATTTTATTAAATATTTTTCATGATACAATAGGATAAAAGAAACTGATCCAAATAAAAACAAAAATAGAAGAAGAAAGAGAAAAGAAAACACAGAGTCCTCTCTCAAAGGTAGCTCTTAACCCTCGTTTCACACAGAAAGTGGTGAACTGTCAGCTGCCTGTCAGCTTGCTGACAGAGGGGGAGAGTGTGGCGAGACAGGAGGTAATTAGGCAGGAATGCGGAACGAGGGAGGAGCAGCCTAGTTGCAGTAGAAGCCGAGAACAAGGAGAAGGAAGGGGGGAGTTCAAGGGGGAAGACACAGACTGACAGTTTAAGCTGAGACTCAAAGGGAGGGCCACCGGAAATAGCCCATCCCATGACGCGTAGGTGTGCAAGAATTAATGAGAGGGGTGAACAGGAAAGGAAGCAAAAGTGGGGCTTTAAATGTGGGAAGAGGAAGGGGCGGAACGCAGACTCGGCAACAGCTAATTTGGAAGCAGACGCTGAGTGACTGAGCTCCAGAGTGATTTGTGTGTTTTGAGCAATAAACCTGAGTTAAATACTGCCAGAGTTGTCTCGCTTCTGCGGGAGAGACCCAACCATTACATGAACCCTCCCAGCTCTCACTTGGGAGCTTCTCTATCTTCTCCCAGACTCTCACCCTGCAGGTCTTCTTCCCTGCCCAGAAAAGTAGTTTCTGAAATGAGGTGCATTACGTTCACAGCCCGAGTGGACTAGGAACAGGGCCTAGAAACTTCATTTCTTAATCCTGAAGGTGTGAGGAAATACTGTGGTTAGTCAGTGGGGTAGGAAAGGGCAAACTGTTGCTGTTGGAAGACAGTGTGCATTTTTTGGTGTTAGTCAGATGGGCAGCATATAAATAATAAAATTATTATTATTATACCGATCTCTTGGGTGATAATCCTTATTGCCTGCAACACAATTCTACAGATGTTTCTGATAAGCAACTTTATCATAGTTTCTTTTAAATTTTCCATGTAATCACCGATGCCAAAAGCGAAATGACTAGACTTAATTGATTTCTATATCGTAGCCTCTATTTCAATAACCATGAAGTTCTCCATTGTAGTATTAATATATCCTCAGGGGTTTTCTTCTCCATCCAGTGCAAAATCTCCAGAGAAGTAGATATTAGATGTTCTTCTGACAAATAATCAATGTCTGTTTTATCCTTAGAAAGGCATAGTTTTACCATGAAATGCTTGCTGCCTCATAATAGGCATATAAATAGGGCAGCGTTAATCCTCCTCCTCAAGGCTGTACCTGCACTGCTAGATGCTTTGCCAAAAATAGTCTGTCTGCCATGCCAAGCCAAGCAGAGCACAATTCTTTATTATATAACTCTGCTTAGTCTTGGTGCTGGACAGAGTTTGGGGAGCAGAACCCTAGTTTAAGATGCACTGGCCTTGATGACATACTGATTTGCGATTCAGTTGTCCTCTGTGAACTGGGGGCTGAAGACAAAGGAGGGAAGGAGGGACAGAAGAGTAGCTAGCATTGTCCCAGAACCACTGGAGTCTGGATACTTTTTCTAGATTGGGCAAGAGAACTCGAGGGAGGGATATATTTCAGCCACTCCTCCTTGCTTCTGCAAGTCCTAATACAGAAAAGTGAGCACCCTTTGTTATACAAGGTGTGACCAGAAAGTAGGGTGAATTGCCCCAGTATGCAATAAAGGGAATTTCCAGATCCGCAGAGACACGTGGGAGGTGTTTGTCCGTATTTCATCTAACATATGTGCACGTTTTCCAGCATTGGTTGTCAGGCCTAAGTTCATGTTCATGTGAATGAGACAGGATAGGATAGCTCCAGCTTCCAAAGTTTTCAAACCCAAGGGCTATAAGCTTCTACCAGGAAGAAGGAAGAAACTAAAATCCAGTGCCAGTCAATTCAATTCAGTTTAATCTAATCTAATCTCATGAGAAGAGAAGACTCCCTGGAAAAGACCCTGATGTTGGGAAAGATTGAGGACACAAGGAGAAGGGGACGACAGAGGATGAGCTGGTTGAACAGCGTTCTCAAAGCTACCAGCATGAATTTGACCAAACTGCGGGAGGCAGTGGAAGACAGGAGTGCCTGGTGTGCTCTGCTCCATGGGGTCACGAAGAGTTGGACACGACTAAACGACTAAACAACAACAACATTCCTTCATTGCTTTATTTATTTGAGGTATCTGTAGCCTGCCCTTCACTCAAGGGTCCCAGAGCAGAAACCAACTACATTAGAATCCTAATTAATAATACCGTATTAAAACCAAATAAATAAATCAGCACCATAAAAAATGCAGTCCTATATTCACTTACTTGGGATCAAGTCACTATTGTACTCCATAGACCTTATGTATAAGTAGGCATGCACAGGTTAACCGCTTACCCTAGTAAATTCTGGTTAATCCCCTATCCTAGGGAATTATGGGAAATGCAGTACCTATTGTTTCCCCTAGGTGAACAGTGAGTGGTAAGCCAAGTACAAACCCTGGTTGCAGCTCATGGTTTGTATGGAGGGGTGCAAGGCTAAGCCCAACCATGGTTGAGCCGCAGGCAGCATGGAGGTGAAGAGCAGTGGCTGTGATCTTCACGATGGGAGTCTGCAGGCCTGTTTGTTCAGCTTAGTATTACATATGAACCAGGTCATGCCTAGATAAAACCCATTTAAGACTTCCTTTCTATGCGTTATCTTTTTCATGTTTTAAAGAAGAGCATAGCACTCTGTTTTAGGCAAATGGTATTGAAACAGCATCCGCTGCCATGTGAAGCCACAAGGGGGATCCCACTGCATAGAGCTGAATACAAATGAGGGTTTTGAATGTTGCAGTCAAAATGTGAATGGGGAGGCGGGGTGGGATTCAGCCATCAGCCCCACTTTTTATGCCAAATTTACTGCTTTCCCCAATTGACCAGTATTAGTGGGATCAACTCAGTCTAGGGGCTTAAATAAAATAATTTTCAGCTGTGTGTTCCCTTCCCTGGGAGGTTATTACACAGTTTGAAAGAAGGCTGTTCAATTGAATTGTCAGGGGAAAAATCACATAAACTGTTTATTTTCCTTGAAATCTTCCAAACTTAACTGATCAGCAGAGACAGAGAATGAAATTCAATTCCAGAAATTGCACCTTGCCTGCTCTGCATGAGAAGCAACAAAAAGAAAGATAAACTTTTGAAGATAAAATTGTTCTGTTCAGTAGCTAACATATATATTTTTAAAATATATAAAAAGTCACATATTGCAAAACCATTTTGGCAACTCAAGGTCCGGAGAGAAGTCTTAAAAGGGGGGGGGAGACCCCAGACCAGTGAGATTGTCTAGAAACAACTCAAATAAACAGGCCACAGTCTATTCCACTTAAATTGTTCAATAGGCCAAAAGAAAAAGAAATGAAAAGGCGTAAATGCTAAAGTTCTGAAATATAGTGTAATTCTAATTCCATCAGGCTGCATTGAACCATTGGATCTGCTGAAAGTCCAGCTATATCAAGTGCATTATCATAGTCAACTGTTTTATTAAGCCAGGGGTGGCGAAGCTTTTTGGCCCGGTGGACCAGATCTTTATCTCATGGACTGACTGTGATGGGTGGGCAGGGCCACCCACCTGTCAATCATCTGACATCATGATAACATCAGGTGAGGTGCCTGATCAGCCTTTGCATGTTACAGTCAGAAACAAGCAAGAAAATGGGGAAAAAGAACACACAGTCACAACCCAGGAGTGGCACCAGCTCCCCTCCAAAATTCATTAACCCCTTAGCTTTAACCCCGTAGCAGCTTTTTCTTCTCAAAATGGTAAGAATTAATTATAGACTGTTGCTTCTTCTGATAGACAGAACAAGTTAAAAGGATCTGATTGCAGGGGATGTGAAAAAAGATCTGCCTGAGACCCTGGAGAGCTATTGCCAACATTGCCAATGTTCTTCATCCCTGGGTCTACACAGATGTTGTTGGACTACAACTCCCATCACGCCAGCAATACCTGGGAAGCTAAGGTTAGTAAGGTAGACAATACTGGTCTAGGCACTTTCTATGCTCAACCTTTAGCAAATCCAGACAACTTTAAAACTCTGAAACTCTTGAATTGCAATTTGTAAGGTTCCGGCTTTAGAGAAATCCATTCAAAACAAAACACTTCCCCCATTCCTGAGATGAGCAGGCGGGCTCTTTGAGAGACAAGGTGTTGTATTAGCTAGAATGGAGTTTTCCCAAACACCTCTGAGAGTGATTTGACCCAGGGCATCGGAACATAGAATATCTTCTTTGTGCACGTCAAAACCATTGTTCATGAGAAATTTGCACAAATTCACCCTGAAACAATACACAGAAGCAAGGAAGGGAGATTCCACTATTGTCACTTCTGCATCAATTGCAATGAGCCTCAATTGCTTTCGAAAAAGTCAGCCTATATTAAGGGCTGCTTTTCTTTCCCATGTGTGGAAGTGGATGGCAGATTGAGCTCTGTAAGAATGACTGCTCCCCACATTAAGCGGGGGCACCCTTTGCGTGGTCGCGCACAGCCTCCGGACCCTATGTGGTTCTCATTAGCACAGGCTTGGCTTCGCCTTCCCCAGGCGGGATACCTGGAAGTCTCTGCCTACCTCAGCCAGTTGCCCAATCCCACCTGGGGAGGCGTTGCCAAGGTGATCAGGCCAGGTAGGGGGTGGGACCACCCTGCCCACACAATACGGGGAGGATTTTACCTGGGAATCGTCAGTTGGCTCCAGAGCTTCTCCCACCCTGCCCTCCCTCAGTTAAGCCTTCTTTTGCAGGCTAACCTTTTCTCCACAGGTACGTGGGCGCTGCTATGTCAAGGTCGCTGTTGAAGGGCCAGAAAGGAATTTTCCTGCTTTGGCAGGTTTTGCCTTTCCCGTAGCAAAACGTCACAACTTTGGTGGTTTCAAGCCTTGGGCGGAATCCTTTAGTCTATCTTCCCTAAATAGAGGTGGGCCTGTAGTGGTGACTCACACCTCCCTTCCTCTTTGTGGTGGCGATCACAGGGTTCCCTGTTAAAGGAGTTGTTTTGAGGGGAAGCATTGGCCATTCGTTGAGAGGTGGTCATTGCTCTCTCTTGCGACGGCGACAAAATGGGGGGCAGGCTCTCTGCTTGAACATTTGTTCTCCAGAGCCAGCCCAATCCCCACACATTCTGGATAACCCTGATGTCCCCCAGATCCCTGGCTGGGGACTGGGAAGGATAAATGCCCAATGCCTGAGCCAAGATCTACCTACATCTGAAACATAATAAAGTTGTGGCCAATTTTAATCCCATAGCACGTTGTCTTGAGGCATTATTCCACTCGGGAGTCACCTAGGGTTGGGGGGACTCCACCTGTCCATGCAAAAGGGGTTCTCTTCTTTAACTAAGGGCTCATTTGGATGTGACTTTTCCCCACTTATGTCTGGTCATGTCACCAAAGTTCATCATTACCCAGCTCCATATGAATTTGTCCAATTTGAAATGGCCAGGCATGTTACAAATTGAGCACCATCTCCCTTAGAAGTTTCTCTCCAGCTCAGACTGTAAAATAAGATTTGGCAGATTTGTGAACAACTAAGTATGAGAAACCTCTGAAAGTTGCCATCGGAGGTTAATTCCATCATGCTTTGTATGTTAAACATTAATTGGGAGCTTAGCCATACATGTTGTATGTCTGTTTCAGATATTTTTCCTCCTACCTGCATTTTGTGCAATGGCAGGAGTGGCCGGCATGATAGGGTGCTACCATAGAGCAGCTCTTTTGACTGGTGTTACTGATGCTTGCCTGGATGATGTGTGGTTATAGGGCAGGGCAGTGGTGAGGTTTGCGCTCTACACAGCCTTGACCTCACTGTCACCCTGATCCAGCCCTGCGGCGCCATCCAATCACCCTGGCCGCTTCTGGAATCAAGGCAAGGGAAATTTGTCAATGGCATGTTTTATGTGATATGGGAAGTTGGGAAATATTACCAAAGACTGATGCCCATCAGTGTGCCTTCCTCAAGTCTGACATATGAAAGATACCAACCTGTTTCGAGAGGTCTTTGAGTTTTGCAAATCAGATTAAATTCTTGACTATTCAGACATGATGAAGTATGCCATTAGGTATTTTTATCGTATTCATTCATGCTAACACAATTAAGTTACATGGGAAGTAAGGGAAAGGGAAAGAGACCCATGACCATTAGGTCCAGTCGTGACCGACTCTGGGGTAGCGGCGCTCATCTCGCTTTATTGGCCGAGGGAGTTGGCGTACAGCTTCTGGGTCATGTGGCCAGCATGACTAAGCCGCTTCTGGCGAACCAGAGTGCACGGAAACGCCGTGTACCTTCCCGCCAGGGCGGTACCTATTTATCTACTTGCACTTTGACGTGCTTTTGAACTGCTAGGTTGGCAGGAGCAGGGACTGAGCAACGGGAGCTCACCCCGTCGCGGGGATTCGATCTGCCGACCTTCTGATCGGCAAGTCCTAGGCTCTGTGGTTTAACCCACAGCACCACCCGGGAAGTAGCCCTCTGTAAAGGTGTTTGGTTTAGGGTTTCAAATTGCTCTTCCTGCCAGAGGCTCTGCATTTTTAAGAGCTGTATGACAGGTAGAAACACAACTCAGAAACAAAGTTTGTTTTTTGATCAAAATTCTGCACACTTGCCTCGATCTCTGCAACAGGTTCTGGATAGATAGGAATGATGAATATGGAATGCATCCTTCTCCACTGAGCAGCAACCACACACCTGGAGTGAAACCCAACATCTGTTGCAAAGCACCTTAGCAGCACAGTGTGTTAGAACAAGATGTGGAGAAAAACACTGCATATAATTAAATACAATTTTGGGTATTGTAGGGTATGTGGTTTTCTGTTAGAATTTTGAATGTGTCTGCTTTTGCATTGTTTGTTCCTTTCTATCACAGAGAGAAGCTTAAAAACAGAAAGGTAAATATATACTGGAAGAAAGCAAACAAAGCACAATTTAGGCTACAATCCTAGGGTTCTGGCATGTGTGTGTATCTAAGGGACCATCAGATAAAGTATATCTCTCCTTCTACCTGCGGAGAGTAAATGGATAGGGGAGCAATTCCTTTCAGTTCACATTTTAATGTGAGTCCACCTAGTTCAGACTTCCTGGAGCAAAACTTAAAGTCAGCTAGCCTTTGAAATTTGCACTTCATTGACCCTTGCAATGCAGTTCTTCAGCAACAACAATAATTATTACACAAGTGCGTATCTCAGGGCAACATGTGCATAAATATGCATAGCATTTGTGAAAATAAAATACAAAAATGCATTATATTAGGGAGAAATTGCTTGCAAAAGCGTGTATATAACACAAAATTGCATAATTAAATGTGTATATTAAGAATCACTCTACAATGCTGATGAATTTTCATGAGGACTTTAAAAAAATCACAAACTGATGAGGATAAGAGGCAATTAAATGAAACTAACTAACTAATTAACTAAGAGGCAAATAAACTGAAAGGGACAGCTTTGCCCATGCCCTAGGAAAGGGAGTTCTGTGGTGGAGAGGGAGATCTTCCTCCAGAATCACCCCTCATTGTGGCTTAGAAACCTCTGCAGTCAAACCCCACTTCTGCCCAGCACTGGTCCTCAGATAGTGCCAATGAGAACTTAACTAATGGTGCCTGGCATATCCATCAAAGAACACTTCCAAAGGTAACCTTGCCCAGTATAGTAGATCGGCTTGTCATAACTAAAATAGACAAACCTGAACTGTGCTTAAATGTTAAGACCTTTTCACGCCCATTATGAATGTACCAGGATATGTTACATTCAGCTAAATAAAGAAATTGGCTTCTAGGCCTGGTCTGTATGAAAGTTAAGCAGATTTCTGTCACGTTGGCCTGTATCCTAACTAGGCTTCCAGAAACAGAAGGGGCTCCTTTTGTTCATGGGAAGGACCAAGATCCAGCAGAAGATCATACAGACAGAAGGGAAGAGGAGACACTGATTCCTTCCAGGTCCCATCATGGCTTCTCACGCTGCTCAGGAGGGTCTCCAACCCTTCAGAGAATATGTGTAGGGGCCATAAGGGATTGCAGAAGGAAAGGTAATTCAGCACCCACCTTCCAATGGTCAGAGCATCACTTAAGCAGAATGCTATTCAAGGGGTGCTCCTGCCAGTGGGAACTAACTTATTATTTGCCCTCTCCCCATGAAAACAAAACAGGTCCAAATCCATTATGATATTCACCTCCAATTAATGAGAGAGGATATTTTGTGTGTAAAATCCCATACACAGGCTGAAATATGCATAGCATGAAGCCCCTTTGGATGCCTGAGAGAGGCTACTTAGTTTGGCAAGGTATGCAGTCTGGCCTCAGCTGTCCATGCTCTAGGGATGCTCTGTCTGGACTACTGGAATGCATTCTATATGGGGC